ATTGCTGATCCTGTCTGTTTTTCTAACATATGCCATAAAAAAGTACCAGATTCTTAGGAATTGTCTTAAAGATTAATGTGGTAAGTTAAGCAGTCATGAAATATAGGATGAAGTTCAGGAAAAAGCAAGTGCTTGCAGAATTTCAGCAGTAAACTGATTAAGCTCGTGTAGTGTCCAGCTGTGCTGGTGTTGGTGGTTTTAAATTTAGCAGGAGAAAGTTATTGCATTTTCCACTAGTTTACTTCTTTACTCTTTCATCAAGCTTTTATTGAGCACCTTGAGGGCAGCTTTTTTTTTTAAACAGCTTTACTGAAATCAATTCATATGCCTTAAAAATCTACCCCTTACAAGTGTACAGTATAGTGTTTTTTTAAAAGTAAATTTATAGAGTTGTGCAAATCACCAAAGTCCAGCTTTAGAACATTTTCATTAACCCAAGGAGTTCCCTTGTGTCAGTTTACAGTTAATCCCTGATTCCAGCCTTAGTTGGCCACTAATTGACTTTTGGTTTTTATATATATTTACCTTTTCTTGACATTTCCTGGAATCACACAAAGTCTGGCTTTTTGGGTCTGACTTCTTTCCCTTAGCATAATAATTTCAAGTCTCATCCTTGTTGTAGCATGTATCAGTACTTTATTCCTTTCTTATTGCTGAGTAGTATGCCATTGTATCAATATGTCACATTTTATTTATCCATTGATCTGGTAAACAGCTATATCTTGAAGTAATTTTCTTGACTGCTTCTTTTTTAAAAATGTTAAAACATTCACTAAATGCCCCACTTAGTTAAAAACATGTCCAATTCATTAACTTATAAAAGTTAGATGTGATAAAATGCCGTGGAGGCAGCCAGCTCACCACAGTGATGTCAGAGAACACTTCGCAGAGAGCATTCTGGGAAATAGGAGAGACTGAGCTGAGGAGAGAAAGAGCTCCAGTAAGGCAGGTGCTTCTTTCACATTGCAGGAATTATCATATAACTGAGTAAAGATGAGAAGAAATGGAAAACCTTAGGGTGACATGGTTGTCAATCAGCATGTGCCTGGCACAAGCTAAAGGGTTGTAGATTCATGTGGTTGCACAAGTATGTTCTTGACACACTAGTCTTAGCTGACCTGGATTTGGATGACAAATCATACAAGGCATCCTGAGATACATCAAATCCATATTCCGAGTTTCCTGAGAGGGGGACCATTTTGGTTACATTTACTGCAGTAGCCAGGCATCGTTAAGTAGCCAGCCACCATGCTAAGAGCTGGGGCAACTAACAAATGAGGTGTGATCCTTGCTGTCAAGGAGCTGAAGTTAGTGAGAGGAGGCAGCGGTGGGAAGCAGATCATTAACAGAGAGATAGCCAAGTGCTGCAGTAGAAAGAAGCTGAGTGAGAAAGCAGTCAGAAAAGCTTCCTGGAGGGAAGGAACCCCTCTGCTAAATCTTGAATGATCAGTAGGTATAAAGTCAGGTCGTGAAAAGGGGATATGAGAGGGTGTTAAGTAGAATGACCTTAGGCAAGGCAGGCATCATAATGAATTAATTGTAGGACTAACATCCACTTGGGTTTTCTGTTGTGTTAGGTTGACTGTGGCCTGGCTGCAACTGGACAGTAATACTGCTAATGCAATCCAAATCTTGGGGACTGGGTTTATGCTGATCACCTGCATTCCATTTCCCATAGGGGCCACATGTCTCTACACTTATCAAGGCAGTTACTGACTTGTACATTAGGACCAAGGTAACTAAAAGGGATCGTTGAGTTAATGTTATTTACAGTGGATTCATTTAAAAGTACAGGCTGTGGTTTATTATGGAGAACTCTAAAGGCAGCCCAGGATTTTTGTTATTTTCCCTGAAAAATAGGGTCCTGGTCCCAGTCCATTTTGCTATGTCTCTAATTTGGTTCCTGTGGAGTTTAGATAGTTTTGATGGGTGTCCCAGCTTTCAAGAAGCCCTCAAATGTGAGACTAGCATATGCACATCTAATGTGCACATCTGCCCAGCAAAGAGGGTTGTTTCAATGTTGGGGAGTGTGGTTCTGGGACCTGTGGTTCAAGATTAATCACCATTAATCACTGAACTAGCATTTATGGAGTGCAAAGTATGTATCAGACACTGAGCTAGGTGCAGAAGAGCCAGGAAGACAGGGTAAGAGTTGGAAATCTATGTGGTCGAGGAGAAATGTTAGGTTTGGAATGACAAATAGGCTTCCTTCCTATTATTCCTCCCTGCACCAGACTGATTTGTTTTTAAATTAGCTTTTATTTTTTTCTCCCCTGATGATTGGTACCAATCCCATTTTCCTTGTTTCTTGTGAATTATTAATATACTCTCAAGAGTCTGATGAATATGACTAGACTGTTTGGGGCTTCCCCGAGTTATGTGAAATGAATATAAATGGGCCTAGGTGTGTGGATGGGCCCAAGTCAATTACATGTCAACTACTTGCCTGTCAGTCCAGTTTTCTAATGCTGGGAGGGCCAGCTTTGATCATTGGTGGTGGTAACCTAGAACATAGGTTCCCAGTCTTTTTTGGCTCAGCGCCCACTTTTTCAAAGAGTGATTCGATAATACCCCCTTAGGTGAATTATACTATACTATATATAAAAAAAGTACAAATTTTTGTCAAATTACTTTATTAGAAGAAATTAACAATATTAATGTATTGCTCAAAGTATAATTAAAATTAAAAAATTAAAAAGTTATATAGATTATTTTAAAAATTTATGAAATCTTTATTAGTGAGAGGGTTGAGCTTGGTGAGATGACACTAATTTTTCGATGTTTGGTGTCATTTTTGTCATCAGTAATCTTAAATCGCCATGTTTCGCTATTGACAATTTGTTTCTTTTCTTTGTTAATAGAGTACTGACCATGCTAAATCCTCTTTCAGCTAAATATGATGATGGAAATGCAATGAAAAACTTCTTTGCTACAGCCCATCAGGCTGGATTTAACATTGGAATTTGCCTTGGAAGCCAAAATTATTGATAACCATTTTTAAATTTCAATTTCAACTCTTCATTTGTTGACAATTCTATCAGCTCTTCCTGCAGTGACATTTCTGCTACTTGTAGGTTCAAGGAAGGTTCTAGGACCCCATCTGGAATAGTCATGTTGAGTAAATCCTGAAATCTATTTGTAAAATCTTCTTAAGAACTTCTTCCAAATGCTGGCTATAAACCAGAATGTCATCATCATTTGTTTCCACTGAATAAAGATTTGGAAACTGACAAAATTGTGTTCAACTCACATTTCGTTTGTACAGGTCAAGTTTTGACACAAATGCAGAAATAGTTGCCTTGGCTTTGATCAAATTCACTGTAGAGTATTAATCAAACCTTTCATTGCGTTCATGTGAGTATTGCCCTAGGGGGTGGCAGCTGGTCCCCAATGCCCCCTTAATATGTCTTGGACCAAAAATGCCCTCTCAGATTTCTTCGGCACCCACTGCTAGGCAGTACCGCCCCTGTTGGGAACCAGGGGCATACAAGGATGGGATGGATTAGTGATGTCAGTCATGAGCACAGAATGGGTAGTAGATGTACAAGTGCCGTGTATTTGCTGACCCTGTGTTAGGGTTTTCTGGTGTAGACAGATGACTTAAGCAAAGGTGGGGTATGGAGGGAGAGAACTTCTTTGTCTCAGTGGTACGGGGTGTAGTGATCAGCATGAGGGTGGGTAGGGCTGCTGTACAGATGTTGCTGCTCATTATGTGCCTGTGTACTGTCTCTTAAATGTCTTTAAGCCTCAGTTTTTTCAAGTCTAAGATGGAGACAATATCCGCCACACCTATATCATAATGTTGGTGGGAGGAGCTAATGAAATAATGGGTATGAAAATATTTTACCACCTGTGATAAACCCTTGGAGTCTTATTACTGCAATGTGGGGGTGGGTGGAGCAGGAAATGCCTGCAGTTAGGCAGGGTTGAGCCAGATGGTAGTGGCCTCAGGGCCTTTGCATGGGGCCCCTCTCCTAGCCTGCTGCCCCTTATATCCAGGTCATAACTCCAAGGTTACCTCTATTTAGACCACTGAATCTACGCCTGTCCCTGCCCTGACTCCACCTATCACCTTATCCTGTTTTTTCAAAGTTCTCATCAGCTGAAATGGCTAACTTACTTATTTGTGTGTCTTGCACGGCTGGAACCGTGCAGGTGTGGTAACAGTGCCTGGTACATAGGGGTTCAGAGTATCTTAACATTTGTTGCATGAGTGAATGGAAGGGTCTTTGAAGTCCACAGACCCAGTTGGGCTGGGGGCCCAGGAGCCCTGGGAGAATTGTTAAGAATCAATTATAGTTGCTGTGACGTGTCTCTTTGCAAACATGTATCTTGAATCTCCTATTTCTTTGGTTATTGAGAAATAACTTCAATTAAATGTATAATAATTATAACTTAATTAAAAATTCCATCAACTCTGGATCTGCTTCACAATGTAATTTCTTTCAATAAGATATAAAGAACAAAAATCAGAATTCATATTGCTTTTTTAGTGTATGTAACAGGCCATGAAATTACACAGTGTTTCCAATTTGCCATTCTGGTGAATTCATTCTTTTAAAAAATAATCTAGTTCTTTAAACTATATGTGATATGAATTAGAGTTGGAATTTGGGAATTGGATACAATTAACACCCAATCTCTCCCTACACTGAACTGATTTATTTTTAAATTTTATTTTTTGTTCCCTGCTGGCTGGTGCCAATTCCATTTTCCCCTGTTCCTTGTGAACTGTTACCGTGCTTTCAAGAGTCTGATAAATAGGGCTGGACTGCCTGGGGCTCCCCTGAGTTATGTGAGGTAAACACAAATGGGCCTAGATGTGTGGAGGGGCCCCTCAATTACATGGCAATTACCTGCCATGTAGTCCAGGTGTTTGCTGTCACTTTGAAGCTGAGGTTCACACCCAGGGAGTCGCCCTCTCCCTAGAGATTCTGGGGCCGGCCTGGGTGTCTCCCTGCTTCACAGGGAGGATTGATGTATCATCGATTCTCTTGCAGGGTAACTTGCCTGTGTGCCCAGTTTGAGGCCGTCCTGCAGCATGGCTTGAAGAGGAGTCGAGGCTTAGCACTGACCGCGGCTGCCCTCAAACAGGCAGCGGGCTTCGCCAGCAAAACCGAAACAGGTACTCTCGGCTGAACGCAGTGTGCTGGATGTGGTCCTTTCTGTTGCTCTTTCTTCTTGCTTTTATTTTCTAATCGTGGGCAAGGCAGTCACTGTGTGGAACTGGGGTGTGGGGATGTGGTGATGCAGAAATCTGTGTGTAAGGATGCCTCACTTGTAGTCAATCATGGTGCTGCATACATCTTAATTTAAGTGAAGTCATCCTTGGTGCACAATTCTCAGAACCAAGTGCTGTGGCCTCTGAGGGACTCTGGGGCTAGTAACCAAGGTGCTTATGTCACCAGTGTGGTGTGGCAACTACTGGGAGATGAATAATGTGCTTTAAATTTATGTATGAGTATAGCATGACATCTCATAATTAAATCTGTCTTCCCTAACAGCAACAGAAACCTGCAGGTCTCTGAGCTGCTTACAGTTCGGCTTCCATCCATTTTCATGTCATCAAAGCATTTCTCATGTGCCATGCATGCCTCTATGTCTCTGAAAGATGGCATAAGGCTAATAATAATAACACATGTAAGCACCAAGTGTGCAAGCCCGACACTTTCTTAGTCTTTCATATAAACTAACTCGTTCAGTTCCCCCTGACAGCCCTTGAGTAGTAGGGACTTTATTTTCTCCACTGTACAGATGAGGAAACTGTTCAGAGTGTTTGGATCTGAATGAACCTTGAAGTATGTCTCACGTCATATGAAAACATCTCATGTCCTTCTCCTCCCATGTTTTAAAGAGCAGATTCTTTCAGACTGTGCTTGTGGCACCTGCCTTGAAATTTCAGGTCTTTCTTGTTACAGTGATGACATCAGTGTCACTGCTGTGAGTAAAATGTGTCATTGTTTGCTAGTTCCCCACATTTCACAGCTAAACACCAGCCCTCACTGTGTTGGATGAAGGTGTCTGCTGAAATTCTCTGCCTTTCCCTCTCCCTCATGTTGGTGTATCTCCCTGCTTTTTTGCTCAGTCCTTTAACAACTCTTAGATTCCTGTTATTCATGTCACCAGTTGCTCATTTTCAGAAATGATTTTGGTTCCTCTTGGGATGAGGGAAGAGCTAGAAGAGGGATTTCTGTTACCATTGATTTTTCTTCTGTGATCCTGTGTCTTTTCTTTAAAAGTCAGGGGAGGGGGAGAGCAGTTCTTGTAGGGCCAGCATCACCGACTTCAGGCTTCGTGGGAACGACTGCCAGCTGCCTCGGCCACCTCGGGTGTGAGCCTCTGCTGTCTTGCTGGCTTCTCATGCCCAGGATGCTTCCCTCCCAAAGCCTCTGCGTGGGGAATGGCTTAGAGCTGTGGGCTGGTTCATGAACTGTCAGAGGACACAACTTTCCAGAGGCCTCCTCGGCTTGTGGGGCCTTGCACTTCTTCTCATTTCATCTTACCTGCCTATGGAGGAGCTACTGTCGAGAAACTGGTGTGGAGCAGAGCACACGGCTCTGGGCTGCTTCCACCCAGGAGGGGCAGCTGCTGGCATGGCAGAGGTGACCTTGGCTTTGGAGTCAGACTGTGAGACTGAGTCTGAGATGACCCTAGGAAAGTCCCCCTCTGAGCCTTAGTTTTCACCTGTGTAGGCGGGTCATCTCAGCTACCTGGGGGATTGTCAAGAGGATTCATGATACCCTCCTGTGAAGTACCTGCTTCAGTCTGTAGCACCCAGCAAATGTTTAACCGGTTACCCACCTCTCCTCAGTCCACTTTCAGCTTTTAACCTCTTGCTCCATCTCTTCCTCTTCTAAGGTCTGACCTTTAGTTCATGAAGAATGGCTCTTTCCATTCCCATCCAGGCTAGAATTCTTGTCTTTTTAGTACCTGGCCCTGGTGATCAGAGAAGCATCAGCATGTCTGCAAGGCATCTCCAGCCTTCACGTTGTTGCCACTTCCCTGTATCTGAGCATGATTTTTGAGCCTGCATCCCAAAGGGACTGACGAGCAAGCTGAGTCCCTGGCTTTGTTTTCTGCTGACGAGGATCTGCCAGGCAGCCTCCTAGCCAATTAGAAGCAGGGTAAAGTCCAAACTAGATTAACACTTGAGCAGCTGCCCAGGGCTTCTGTCACCACTGTCAGCAGTGTTAATGAACCACTCACTGGTGTAGGACAGTGCTTGACTGATAAAACCTCTTCCCTGTTATTGAACATTTTGATTAAAAACATCGCAAGAGAAGAGGGGTGGGTGGGTTTTCAACTGCTAAGTGTTGGGAAAGATCAGATCAATAGCTTCTTATGGCTGTTCTTAAAGCCATTAGAATGACCCTTTTGGGAAGAACGAAGATAATGAAACCTGAAAAGTAGGACTGGGTGGAAATGAGTGTTGCTCTGCTCCCTCACCCTTGCTGACTGCTGGGTGAGGCCCTTTATGGAGCTTAGCGGTCACTGTTAGAGTTAACCAACCCCAGAGTCGGATGACAGGTTGGAATCTCCACTCAGTGATTCGTCACTTGTGAGCTCTTTGGGACATTCCTCCTTTGAGCTTCTGTTTCCTCCTGTGTAAAATAAGGTGAATAGCAGGGCGCCCCTCACAGGTTTGTGGCAGGGGCTTGATGAGAAAGTGCCTGCAAAGCCCAGACTTTGGTACAGAAATGCCAAAGCTGGGGCTTGATGATACTGTGTCAACAACTTCCCAGGATAGGTGATGGTGTCCTTATTTTCCAGTTGATGACATTAAGGCTCAAATAAGTTAGTAAGTTGCCCAAGTTCCCATAGTTGCTAAATGGCAGAGCTGAGGATTCCAACCTAGATCAGGCTGATGTTAAGTTCCTGCTCTCTCCAGCTTCCCTGTCCTTTGGCAGCAGGCCTGACATTATTGTTGCTCCCCTGTAGACTACTCTTACCTCAGTTAACTGAATTGAAAGTGACAGGAGTGAATAATAATGGCAAATTAATCCACAAGGCTGTTGCATTAGTTCTGTTTACAGATGAGGAACATAACCTTTTTTTTAGAAGTATCATTGATGTACAGTCTTACGTTGGTTTCAAATACACGACACAGTGGTTCAACATTTACCCATATCATCAAGTCCTTACCCATTCCAGTGCAGTCACTGTCTATCAGCATAGTAAGATGTTACAGAATCATTAACTGTATTTTCTGTGCTGCACTGCGCTCCCTGTGACCAACCTTACATTGTGATTGCGAATTACTGTGCCCCTTAATCCTCTTCTCCCTCCTCCTCCCCCATTCCTCCCCTTTGGTAACCACTAGTCCGTTCTCCATGTCTATGAGTCTACTGCTACTTTGTTCCTTCTGTTTTGCTTTGTTTTTGTACTCCACAAATAAATGAAATCATTTGGTATTTGTCTTTCTCCACCTGGCTTATTTAACTGAAAATAATACCCTCTAGCTCCATCTGTGTTGTTCCGAATGGTAGGATTTCTTTTCCTTTTATGGCTGAATAATATTCCATTGTGTATATGTACCATACCTTCTTTATCCATTCATCTACTAATGGACACCTAGGTTGCTTCCCTATCTTGGCTATTGTAAATAGTGCAGCAGTAAACATAGGGGTGCATATGTCTTTTCAAATCAGGTTCTTCTTTTCTTAGGGTAAATTCCTAGGAATGGAATTCCTGGGTCAAATGGTATTTCTATTTTTAGTTTTTGAGGAACCTCCATATTGCTTTCCATGATGGTTGCACCAATTTGCATTCCCACCAGCAGTGTAGGAGGGTTCCCCTTTCTCCACATCCTTGCCAGCATTTGGGGAACATTATCTTTTTGAAGAGAGAAAAGCTAAATTCAAAGTAATGACTGAATGAAATGATATTGAAAATCACCATACAGCAGAGAATACTGAGAGTCTGCTAGGGCATGCCTACATTTGGTCGGTCATGCATGGGGTTAGGATACATAGGACTGAGTTTGGAAGCTGGTGCCCTTGTACAGTGTACTTAAAATTGTTTTAAACGTTGACATATTGATTTCCAGCTCTGTTTAAACTTGGGGATCTTTGACTGTTGGCTCACATTCACTGCTGGCTTTGGTTGGGCCCTAGATGTTCTCTAGGTCACCACAGTCTCTGCGTCTTCCAACTGTCCTGCTACTTGAGGTAGAATGTTGATTGATTGTCATTTATTGTTGCACTGCTGTTATTGTTCTCACTCTTCTTACCTGAGATTTATCAATTTTCATTTATCTAAGAAAACATAATCTAAGAACACATCTTAGATTATAAGCCTTTGAAGTCAGTTTCCAGAATGCTAAAATGGTAGTTTTTGTCAATTTAGTTCAGTTTTGTAATGCTCTTTGGGAAGATTTGTTAACCTTCTTAGTTGGCCATAGCTAGAAGTACCTCATTTTTTGTTTTTATCTTGATTTTGAATACCTTCTTGTCTTTGCACATGACTGGCATTTTCTACTGAATGCCAAATGTTGTGTATGAAGAATGTTTGAATGATGATATTATCTTTCTCCAGAGAGGATTTACTGTTGTGTTTCAGATAGTTAGGGTAGAGGAAGATGAATTTAATTCAGCCAAAGATTGAGCCACTTCATACCTGGGCTTCAAGCATTTGTAGGAGTTGACGTGGTTCTACTTCTGTCTTATTTCTAGAATGTAGGTATTTGGAGTTTCCAGCTTCTATCAGTTTCCTAGAGCTGCAATAACAAATTTCCACACCCTTGGGGGCTTAAAACAACTGAGAAATTTATTCCCTCACAGAGATGGAGGTCAGAGTTCCAAACTCTAGGTATCAACAGAGCTGCTGCCTCTGGATGCTCTGAGGGACAGTGTGTTCCTAGTGTCTGGCAGTTGTCAGCAAGCCTTGGCGTCAGCCGTCCTGGTGTTATTTGGCTTGTGGCTGTATCACCCAATCTCAGCCTCTGTCTTCACATGCCACCTTCTTTTCATGTCTGTGTCTCACTGACCTCTCCTCTCTTTAGAAGAACACCAGTCTTCCTGGGTTCAGGGCCCCCCCTACTCCTGTATGACTTCATCTTGACTAATTACATCTGTGAAGAGCCTTTTTCCAAACGAAGTTACATTCTGGGATTCCAGGTAGACATGA